TACTCAATATAAAATGAAAGTCAAATTTTATGGCAAGATTTACATCCTTATATCCTCATCTTGGCATCTATGGAAAGATAGTGTTAGGACAGGGAAAAAAAATTGTCATCTCGTTATCTTCTAATTTGGATTAAAACCATCTCTAACTAGTTGGCCTTCCAGTGTGGCTCTTGCTTGTTATTTCTCAGTGGCACAGCCTATCACTTTGCTAAATGGAAATTGCTCTTGGCTAGTTTTTCAAAGCAATTTGACAACGTAGTTTGATTTTGCTCTAACATAATCTAGACATTGTTTCCCTGTAGTGGGACAAAGGGATTGTGAAGAAACTATTATACAGAAATTCCTTGCAATTTTCTCTTCTCTTACAATACCTATCATATTTTGCTTAACTATAGCAATCTTCCCAGGTTCAAATGCTCTTCTCAGACGTGTTCAGCGTTTACATGAACTGTATGGATTTCATACATTAGATGAGACCTTGCTTAGAATACAAATGCTATGTGTTTTACAATAATGCAGTGAATCCCAATTTGGTTTTGATTGCAGTAAACTGGAGTCAAACGTGCAAACCTTTGCTAATTTAAGTTGATTTTACCTTTATCGTTTTGCATATTACATGATCTAGAGCCACACAAACGAAAGCTTGTTTGGACTTACCGTGCTTTCCTTTTCAGAAAACAGAATTCTTTTTAATTAAAAACACTTTAAAAAAATCAGTATGTGTAATTGCTAACACCTGCTATGTGTTACTAACAGATGTTTCTTTCTTACCTAAGGGAACTGTTATAATTACACTATACGCTTATTGGAATGGCATTTAACCAAGATAGTTTAGGAACTTTAGGTGGTGACTTTGTGTTCTTTCATTCATCTTTCCTTTAATTTTTTTTTTTTAAATAGCCAAACAGACAGGCTTCCTCACTCACCTCCCTAGCTCTTACTAACCAAACACAATTCAGCACAACAAAGTTTTGGATATTCAGTCTCCCGCTGCTCCTCGGTCCATCCCTGATCATCAAAGAGGAGTTTACATTTGTTGCTCCAAACCTTGTCTTGGAGCCTGTCTTGGCAAGGCCCATGATAGGATGGTTAAAAGCCATGCTMATAGTGGGGTTTGAAGAAGGCAGACTTGTTGATTGACCTTGAGGAGCCCATCTAATCTCTTGGTTTCTKTGTTCTTTACTGTGAAATGCTGGCAGTGTGGCCTCTCCATSAYAATCATTTGGTTGGAAAAGACCTCYTAAGGTCATTGAGTCAGACCATTAAGTCAGCAGTGTCCAGCCCACCACTGAACCATGTCCTAAACACCACAAATACCTCTGGGGATGGTGGAACAACTAATTCCCACTAAACATCCCCTGGCACAACTTGAGGCCATTTCCTCTGGTCYTGTTGCTCGTCACTTGGGAGAAGAGATGGACATCCACAGAGGAGGGAGGCCCAGATCAGGGGTGTTTTCTCAGGGCTTTGAGATTTTTAAATTGGGTTGGAGGTCAGTGGGACCAGCTCTGGGCATTGTCCTGTCCATGGCTGCTGCAGAGCTCTGGGGGCTGCAGKAGGAACAGTGCATTCCTGCACCTTCCAACTCAGCTGCAGAGCAAGACACTCAGTGCTCTCCCTCTGCATCTTCATTTATGAAACTAATCACACAATTACCTGCAGGCATGTGTTAAATATGACACTGGTCTCTGCAAAATAATGGGCCAATTGCAAACAATGAATAAAGAGAGGCAGCTCCATTTATAACTGCTGTTTCAACAGAGCTGTGTTGTAATCAAARTGATCTGAGGGTGACTCATTAATTAATTGATGTTCTTTTTTATTATGTGCTATTGAGTTAATGAGTAATTTGTGCTAGATAACTCTCTGAACACACTGATTACGTGAGATATTTTCTGGGGCTTTCATATCAATGACATGCTGAATAGGTGGAAGATGGTATTTGCTTATGTATACTCATTATTAGCAGGTTCAGGATGAATATAAATCAGCAGAAGGGCATTTTAAAAGGTATTAGATACATGCAGCTCTTACTTTAATGCTTTAAACAGATACTCTTCAGCTTTTAATGCCTTAAATAGTATTAAAATCACTTCCTTTATAATACTTCTATCACCCACAACTGGCAGCTTTTAGAAGGGTGCCTACACAAAGGATTTTTACTGGGAGCATGTTTGTGCTAATGGCCTATTACCTTGCACACAGCTGYATTTTGGTTTCCTTTTGCAAGGTACTGAACAGTAAACAGGTTTGGTCTGCATCATTGGCCTGAAGTAGGAGAAATGTGTTAAGTGAATATGTAATTGACTTTTTAGAAAATCTAAAGTGGTATTTAAAGGAATAAAAACACTGTTCTTATATACAGTACACACTTTGCTTTGTGTAGTTTGACTTGTTAAAGCTTTTGCTTTATTGAAACCACAACATCTCCAATGCCATAGGAGTTTTTTATTCATTAAACAACAAATGGCTAAATTGATAATTTAGTCTGACAACAGCAGCACAGTGGAAGCTTTCAGAAAAATCAGCTAAATGTATAAAATTATACCCAGCAATCACTACAGACCTTCATTTTTGACAAGATTTGTTCTAGGTACAGATGACTGTAAACTACCTACTGCTGAGAAAATTATAAGAAGCTGCTGCATATTACGTTGAAAAAAAGCCTTTAAAGTACTTTAGAGTTTATACAGTTGAAACCTTGCCACAGTCTCTGTTTCTTTTTCACAGTCTCCCTTCTCACTGATCACTTTTCAATTTATCTTCACCAAGTCATTTTATGTGTAGGCAATTAGGAAAATTTGAGGGATTGCTGGATGATTTTCCTTTATTTACATTACATGAGCAAAAATTTGAACATTTTGGGAGGACAGGAAAACATGAAAGAGTGCTTAAAAAATACCAAACAACCCAGAAAATATAAAAACACAATTATGAAATAGATCAACTCTTAGTCCTGGTCACTGCTTCTGCCAAATCCAGGCTGTCTTGATTCATYACCAGTTGTGGCAGATAACAGACACAGCAGGTTACAGTTGTCAGAGGAGYTTTTTACAGTTGAAAATCAAGGATTGATAATTTGGCTCAAAAAACAGCCATCCAAGAATAGTACATTTAAAAAAAATTTGTTATTATTATTATTTTTGTCTGGCTAAACAATTTGTACAGATAGAGGTAAAATGCCCTAAAGATGGGAKACACAATTGTAAGCATTCCTGCCTGGCAAATAAGCACCCACTGAGCAATGGTCACTATCAGTGTTTTGTTGGATGCAGACAGAGCATGATAACACACACAGTGATGGAGAAAGAGAAACAAAGCAGATAACAAAAAACAACTCAAAGGAATGGTCTAGGCCTCTGTCAAAATGATCATAAAGTGGCCTGGCAGATAATCTTTCTCCAATATTGACTTATGATGTTATACTTTATTGGAGTTGTAAATGTTTCCATTAAATATTTCAACTCTCAGTCATTATTTTAACCAGGCATATTTTAGCCAGGCAAGGTGGAAGTGCGAAATACAGGAAAATGTGTAATTGATCTTTGACCTACATAAAATCTAAATTTRTTCTATATCCTCTACATACAAATTTTAGATATGTGTGTGAATAGGACAGATGAGCATAAAGTGCTCAAAATGGTGTCATATCATTGTGCACTGCAAATATATCCATATTTCTTTATCCTTGCATCAACTGAAGTTGATAGAATGGTGAGACTATTTCTTTTCTCCAYAGCAGGACCACCTTCCTCTTCCACACTTTGAGCCTATGTCACAAAATGCACATATGAGCAATGTGGCATGTAGCAATAAGCCACCTTTCCCCATTCCACTCTCTTCATTTGTTCCATAAAGAGCTGAGCAGTGGAATTTTGTGGCAATGAGAGATTCCTGTAGCATTTACAGCATGTTGGTGTGCAGTTGCCATCAACCCCAACCAAACCTTCCCCAGGCTAAGCTGGTTTTGGTGCTCTCCTGCCTCAGCTCTGTGGTTACCTGCTGTGAGTGTTCCACTTCTCCCTGGAAGCATGGCTCCTGACTTTCTGAAGAGCCAGAAATACTTTACAAAACCACTGTATCCATTAGCCCCATTGGACAGACCAGACAGCTGAGGCACAGAGAAGCTGAATGACTTGCCCAAGCTTASATGTAGCCAAAGTCCCTTCTTTCCTATTCTCCAGCCTTATTTCTGAACCAGGGATTTCTACCTGTTTTCCAGCTTGGAAAGCAGAGGAGAGATCTTTCTGAGTTCTAATGGAAAGACCCAAGAGAGGCTGGAGGAGAGAATTGAAATTGGACTCAAAATAAAATAATATGATTCTTCCCTTTCTGTCTATCCTGACCTTCATGGAAAGGACAGCTTGTTTATTGCACAGTAAGGGCTAATAGTACCTCTGACACCAACTGCTTCGTTATCCCAAAGACATTAAGGGACCGTGGAAAGGAGTGTGAGAGACACTTGTGCTCAAGGTTAGGAAGGAAGATAGTCCACAAAAGAGGGCTAAATTTAATTTGAAAAACTATGTGGAGCTATTTCTTCYGATTAACAAGAACAGCCTGAGGAGTTGTTGCATTTCTTACTGGTCCTGTATGAGTCAAAGTCGAGTTTTGTGAGCCATGCTTATTTTCGAAAGGGTTCACAGCCAGAAAAAAAACAACACTGTAACACCAGTCATTAGAACTAAATATCTATTTCTAAGTCAAGCCACTGTGCGGTGTACTCTTACCATACAGTTAAGGAATTTCCCCACTGCATTACAAAGTTTCTTTCACCATCCCCAGCAAAAACATGTTGAAACTGGAACAGGACAGGAAGAGCAGGGAAGGACAGCAGTCAGCTTGAGCAGAGACATGGTTTAGTACTCTAAATAAAAACAAGAGCTTAGCTTCTTAACAACATAGGGTAAAATGGGTTTCTTGGATTTTTTTTTTTTGTTCTTAATACTGGTTTATTGTTTGGGTTTTGTTTGGGTTTTTTGGTTTTTTAAATTTTTTTTTTTTATTTAATACATGTTGTTTTCTCAATGAGCTAGATTACAGTGGCAAACAGACAAGAATTAAATATGCATTTAACAACTTTTTAAACATTCATCCTGCTTTCCTTTGCCAAACACCTGTAAGCTCTGTCAGGGGCATGAGCACTTAGGGACATSCTGCTGATGCAATTGCTTCATGGCTTTAAAAACAGAGGTCCACCTCTCCTAGAAAACGGACTGATTGCCAACAGGAGCTGTCAGCAGTGATTCCACCTCTGTCAAAAGGATTTTAATTGCCAGTATTGATGGGACAAACCTGTAGGATGTTGGCATGGACAGCAAAGTACCTGTGCAGTGGAGTGTGGTAGCTCTCGCTTTCTGTTGCAAAGTTTTGTCCCATCCACATCAGCATTTAAATTACCTTCAGCATTCACTGAGGTGGGTAATTAGCAACCAGTCACTCTCCCAGTGTCAGCTCAGGGTAATTTCTTTAATGTAAATWGACCCTCAGAGAGGGCTGTTTACAGTACCTTCTACTTTCACTTTTTTTTCCAGGGTTTGTTGAGGATGCAGCCCCAGAAAACATTAGGGTTAAGCCCTGATTAAAACAAAGAAAAAAAAAAAAAAAAAAAAAAAAAAAAAAAAAAAAAAAAAAAAATAAAAAAAAAAAAAAAGAAAAAAAAAGGGAAAGGAAAAGAAAAGAGAGAGGGAGATGAGGGAGAGAGAACCCCTCAAATTTTAAGAATTTTTTAAAATGTATATAAACAGAAGTCTTCTCCCTTTCCTCCCCCCCAAATTAATGACTTGAGAAAAATAACATATATTTTTATATGTATATATATATATATAAAATAAGATACCCAGAGGCACTGGTTTGCATTAGGGCTTAATTTCCAGCTAAATTAAAAATCAAATCCAGGCATTTGGAATGCCTAAGGGGCACAAAAGCAGCACCCAAAATCATTAACTTTTGCACCTTTTATAATATATCTCAAACCAGTCAGATTTGCTTTTCAAAATTTTGTAGTAAAATAAAAGTGCTCTTTGAGGAAAATCCATGSAATTAAACAGCAGATGCTTAACCCCTGAAAAATAGAGGCTTATAAGAGAAGTGCTGATAGACCCTTAACCGTAGCATCATTAGCAGCAGGTGCTGCTAGTTATTAGTTTTCTAAATAGTTTTAATGTAAACAGTATTCTTAAGCTCTAAGTGTAGCATAATGGTTGGGATTTGCTCTTTAATGCTTTTTACTAGAAAGATACAGCTCATTTAAAATAGCTGGTAGATACAGAAAGCATAAATATACAGTAAGTTTAGACACTGATTGTACTAAATGCAACAATACAAAGAAGCAAACAGGAACACAAATGGTAACACAATAAAACTGTATTACATTTGTGCTTCAAATATTACAATACATTATGTACAATAGTCCAAAATAAACATCTCATGCCAAATGACACAAAAAGAAACGAAAAACCCCAAACAAACCAAAAATCCCAAGAGCAAGCAAAAAGAATCCAGCCGTATATACAGTACCTTTTTAATTAACATTCAACTCTGAACTGGAGCAATTTTCACTACATACAGATGCAGTCCGCCTTTTATTTCACGCAACCATTCTGTCTCCCTATATCTATGCTATTCAGTAGGTTCCTGTGTCATTTCTTATATACATGTTGAGCAAAAAAGATAAAAGAACATAGTGCTTTTTATTCTTAATGATGTGGCATCCGATCAGCGRACCTGGGGTGCATAACCTTCTTTCATTAAACCCTCCTCATAGTCTGTCTGGCACAGAATCATGTTGTTCTTCAGGAAAAATTTGTCTCCAACACAAAATCTGAAATTAAAATAATAAAGAGGAAAGAAAAGAAAAAGATAGTTTGAGGATAAGGATGTGATATGATCTTAGAGGTAAGGGAAGTGGTGGCTGGACATTGCCTGCAGACACATGTGCCTGTGGGAAAGCCAGGCAGAGGAATCGCCCTGGTGCCACAATTAATCCTGTGCTTTCAACAAAATCTAGTGCATTCAGGATCTTTTGCTTCTCCAGCCAAAGACCTCGTTCAAAGCCCACCGTGGGCTGTGGGAGTCCTGGATCAGATCACCAGCACACAGATAAAACACAGTAAATATCCCAGGATGCTGAGCTGAGTGAAAAGTAAATGTCCTGCTTTTGTGCAAATCAGAAGGMAGACAGAGTGATTGCATGCAGTGCTAAGCTTGTCTGAGAAATGCTATATTTCTCTTGTGTGCTGGTAAGAATTTCTTGTTATGTTCCAGTTGGTATTTCACCAGGTTTGGTTTAAAATGGTGGTTCTGGGAACCTTTTCTAGCACACACACAGCTTTACATACACTGTGGTGCAAACTAGAGAACACAGGCATGCAGAGAAATTTTTCCTTTTTACCTGTAGGAGTTGATTATAAATTTAGTTACTCAGCTAACTACTCTCTCTCCTGTGGTATCAGTGTACCTACCTTGTTATACTATTATGTGCATCAGAATGATCTGATTGCTGCAAAATGCTACTGAGAGATTTCATTTGATTTTCTCTGATGAGTAGGACAACTACGTAATGTTAATGCTCCTGGCTGGCTGGCTTCAAACTTCGAGTAAAGCAGGATTTCCCAGATAAGAAATATGCCTGAATTTAAGAAGGGCCTTCCCTGACACACCCCTCTCAACCCTTCTTCCCCTTGACAAAGCCAATCTTTTTGAAGATACTCAGGGAGAAGTGAATGGGGCCAACGCAGAAAAAAAGTTTCCCTAGAGACTGCCTTGGCAGGGTTACATGCCTTTGTTTATAGTGAACTCTCCAGCTATGAAATATATTGGGAGGCACTGCTTGCCTTATTCCAATTAAAATGAAAGAAAGTAACCTAAATGAACCCCTTAATACTGATGTGAATAAATGAAACCAGTTTCTAGCAGCTAATTATGGATCTCAGTACATAAAGTATTGTTTAATGTGTAATGGATTATAATGTCCTTTTTTGTATAATTTCCAAATGGTGACATCTTGGACACAATYAGGGTCAGATATAAATGCTTGTGTTGTTTACGGTAGATTTAACAGCAGAGTAGCTATGGGAATAGCTGTATATGTATTTAATTGTAACAATTTAACCTTCAAATAGTGGTGCCTGCTGTAGTTGACCCAGTAAAACTCCATAAATGACACAGGTTGACCCACCTGACCCCTGATAGTGGCCTGTCTTTATCAGATAGTCAATTTCTAATGATGTTCGAGCAGAAATCTTGGTGAATTCTCACAGATTAAATTGTGTATGGAAAGCAGTCCTTTAATGTTTTGTGAAGTTGGAGGTTTAAATGAGTAGCAGTTGGACTGATTTACATTTGTGAAGATTGGAATGCTAGACAAASAGTGAACCCATTTATTTTCCAACTGGGTAGCTTTGGAAATTTATCCTTATGCTAGCTAAATAGATAGAGGGAAAATAGTGTAATAAAAAAGTGGATTGAAAAGAATTAGCTCTGCTCTTAAAGGAAAATTGGTTTGTTTATTTGTGGACTTTTTTTTTTTCTGTGGGATTACTGCCTGCTGCTGATGATGATTGAAAATAGAGATTATGGAAGGATCCCGAAATCTTTAAGTTATTTATGGTCAACACTCTTTTACAGAATTTAGAAGCTCCTATTATTCTTTCTACCCCCATCCTGGTATACTAGACTTCTAATAACAAAGAAAGATTTTGAGTAGCTGTGTTGAAATGTGGAATTCATGCAGAAAAGTTGTTCTTTGGTGTTTTTTTGTAAGTTTCCATCTTCTGTATTTTGCATTGACAGTAATGCTGAGAAAAATTCTTTTGTGCATCTTGCAAGATTAGGTAAAGGAGTCTTACCTAGTGCCAACAGGTAAAATTTGTTTTTGCCAAAGAAGCAACATTTAAAATCAACAAAAAACAAAACAAACCCAAATCCAGTGCACCAGTGGGAGAGAAAACCACCTCTGCGTCCAGCAGAAGCACTAACTCTGGACTGAGAATTTTATTCAGCTGTGTATTCCTTTTGTTCCAGTGTAAGACAGACCTTAGCAAACTGATTTGTTTAAAATATTTAGTAAATGAAAAATACACTGCTGAAGTGCAATTCACTTGCATGGCAATACTCAACACATGTGACTTCTTGCAATATTGTTTGCATCAAAATCCTGGCTGAAAGAATTTTGTTTCTCAGCCCTCAGAGAAGAGACACAGTTTGAATTAAACTGCATCAACTACATGGGAATGTCAGGATTTCTTTCCCAATAAAAAGTGTCAATGCCTTTTGCTCGTGCAATGTTCATATGTCGAGCCAGGAGTTTTCTACCGATGTCTACATGGCATGAGTGGCTTTAAAATTACACAGTTCCACAAATCATTTATGTTTCAAATGTGCAGCTGTCTCATGGATTGGCTGCCAGTGGCCTGTCTAGACACGCTTGGCTTTGTGATAACCTGTGGGGTGGGGGTCTGTCTGCAAGGCAAGACATCCTCTGGATGGTCCTCTGTGCCTTGGGGGAAACCTGTTGCTTGTGATACTTATGGTTCAAATTCTGCAACCGTTTTCATATTGTGCAAGCTCAGTGACAAGCATATTTGGCAAAGGCTGACAGTGAGGCTTGAATGGGCTCCTGGGTATTWAATGTGTGAATTGTGCACTCATTAGGTGACAAAGAGGTAAGCACCAGGTGAAAAACCTATAATCCTGGCATTGCTGGTACAATGAGACAAGGCAAGGAAGCACATGAAGTATGATGAATTCTGGCCATTCACACTTTCAACCTTATTTGACTCTCAAAACCAGATTTAGCTTCTTCTGAAGTGAAAGAGCTGTATCTGTTACTACTTCAGATTGGGTTTGCACACTCTGAGATTTAAACCTGGCTCAGCTTTAAAGCCTAAATTGAAGCCTAGCCTCCCACTAAGGTTGTTTTTGTTTTTTTTTTTTTATTTATTTTAAGGAATTGGCATTGGATGTAAATCAGGGCACAATTTGGGCACGCATATCAACTGGAGTCGAGGAGCACATTAAGATGCCACTGTGTTGGGAGTGTATAATTAGGCAAGATTATTACTCTTCTAGCAGGCAGATGGTAGTCTTTCCTAAAAGAAAATTTTTCCTAAAATTCCTACCCAATTTTTTTAATAGGCATGCAAGAGGAACGGGAAAGAATATACAATGGGCTGCATTAACATGCCAGATTGGATTTAACGCCATAAATTGATAATAGTACTTTTGACACGACTGTGACATTAGTAGAATGACCATTATAATTAACCTACATCCTAGAACTCCTGTCATATTTTACAATGGCAAAAGGAAGGCCATTTATATTACAAAATGACCTCTGTTATCACCTTGTTTGGAAGGGGAAGGTGTGCCTAGACTAATCACAAGAAGTATAAAACTTCCATTTTGAGAAGCAGCGCTTACATTGTTCAGAACAGATATTTAAGGAGATCTCACTGCTGYCTATCATCTTTTCTGATGCACAGGAGGTGTGTCAAGGTACTGAAAGCCTCTTCACAAAGTGAGAGAAATATTGCTGTGAACAGAGATGGCTCTGTGTGTGCTTCCTCTGGTAACGCCAGGTCTTTGTCGTTGTAGAAAGAAACAAAATCTGGAAGCATTTAGCTGATTTCCTGAGGATCAAGACAGCTCAGACTTACCACACCCACACCCTTCCCCTCTGCTTTTTGCAATCAGTGATGAAACTTGTGCTCGCTTTTCCCCTTTCCTCTCTTTGAGTTTCCAGTATAACTCACATTAATCTCTTTTCATCAATAACAGAACAAATCCACTCTTTTACATCACAATTCATCAGCATACACCTGTGGTTTAKTAATTCTGGGGTTCTGTCAAAATGTCCATTTCAAAGGCTGGAAACTGGGAGTTGTGCTTGAGTTTGTACATTTTCACCAGTACYATGCAGAATACATATACACAGAATCCCAGTTCAGCTTAAAAYGGCAAACCTCAGCTTCTCATGTACTATTTTATAAAAAGCAGGTATGGACAATGTGTTAATTTGCATTCTAAATTTAGAGACATTCAATGAAAATAAGCAGTATTCAGGCTTTCAGAATTTATAAAATGACCACTCATGCAAAAATCTAATATTGGTGTTTGAAATAAGGATGTCCCTGGCATTGCATTCCCTCTCTGCTGCTTGACAGAGAACAAAAGCAGCATTGTGTGGGCATTTTACAGTTTATACTGGAGGTAAGTGTTTACAGCTCCGTCAGGACAGYGATTTCAATGAGTGTGTAACCATTTTCAGTCCAGTTTCTATTAAAATAAAGGCTATTTCAGATGGAAGGGTAGAGCAGTTGATTTAAACACTTCTCAGTGATAGCAGATGGGGGTTTTAAGGCATACTCTGAGCTGACTTCAAACGGCAGAGAGAAAATATCACAGGAGTATGGAACAAGCTGCTAAAGACGCCAACAGAGAGTGAAAGGAAGGACACAAACTCGGGGAAGTGGGAAAGCCGAAGGCAGACTRACATCATTACTGTAGTCAAAAGTGTCAAGCAAAGATGCAGCTGAGCCCACTTGCAAGATTTTCCACTCCATTTCGTTAGTCACACACATGCAACCTGACAAAGTGTGAAAGGCAGTGTCTGTTTACAAGTTTATTTTTCCAGTGGTTTGCTTTCTTTTCCCCCTTTACATTTTCTGCAGAAATTAAGTATATTGAGGCTACTGTCACCATGAGGTGAAGGGCTTYTGAGGAGAAGTTTAATATGTTTACAGAGAAGAAAGGGGAACACTCACACCATTAAGATGACTGTCACTAAGCTCTGCAGGTACTTAGGCAATGGAAAAACTTCAAATTAGGAGTAAGCCGGACAGAGACATGAGAGATAAGAGGATGCTAAAACCTTTAGGCTAGGAGCAGAGCTTAATATTCACAAAATTGTTACAGCTTGAAGCATCAGTATCAAGAAAAACATGGGGAAATATCTCAAAAACTGGCTGGCTGGAGTAATTAGATCCTAGAGCTGAATAGCTTTATGAAAGTGAAAACAGGAGACAGTGCCTGTTTGACACCAGGGGACCAGGCTTTGTGGCTCAGGAGCTTTCTTTCAGRCCTATGTCTACAGTCCTTGTTCCTGGAACACAGCATGTGAGACAGTGCCTTTTTCTCTCTTGAAAAAGTCACATTCAGGAGGCCAAAAAAGGGACAGACATGTTATGAGTTGGTTCAGAGCTGTAGTTCATGGCCCAAACAAAAGTCCCCTTAAGTGAAGGGAGTTTAATTACTGTGCACACCGAGGCTTGCACTGCCTGGTGAGTTGTAGATACTCAAAAATAATACAGCAAACAGTGAAGTTGTCCATAAAAACTGAAGAATCAGTGAATCTTCACAAAGAGCACTGGACAAAAATGGGCAGGCATCTCTCTGGGCCAGGATCAACTATTTAAAGGGTAGCATTGTGAGGGTCACTAGCATGACTGAAGAATGGGCTGCCCCAAGGATCAGTGAGATGTGTGTAAATATAAATATTACCTAGCTTGGGAGGCAGAAGGGGATGGAAGGAGCAACCAGGTGCAGAATATCAGAAAAAAAAATTCTGTGTTGGCAAAGGCAAAGTAGTGCAATCTGAAGAAAACAATTCTGTGTACTCATGAACATTGCATACATTCTGTTAGGAAGAAATCTAAATGGTCAATGTTAGCTAAAAATGAAATGTGGGACTGAACAGAGAGCACTACATACTCTGCAGAACTACTGTACAGGGTGATCCAAAGGTTTTAAAATTTAATGGGGGAAGAGAATGTGAAATTGGAAAATAAGGCTAAACAGGTCTTGAAATAGCTGTTGAGCCGTGATACACCCACAGGTGATTTTTGGATATTGTTGATGTGTTTGTGAATAAGAATATTCTCTTCAATAAATAAATTCTGTATTGGTTGAGTTAGTGGCTATAGTGAAAGCAAAGAGCAAATCTAAAACCCCTCAGTATTATTTTGTATACAAAACTTAATAAAGTTAAACTATCTTATAAATACATCCTTACTCAGGATCTGCTGTGTGATTTTGATKAGCTTGAGCAGAGGAAGAAAAAAGGATCCTAAAAAGAGCAACAGATATTATTAATTATGTGGTGACTGACAAGATTGTTTGGTTTAAAAGAAWAGAGAAAAAGATTTCACAGCAGATCTGAAAACTCCAAAAACGGGTGATAGTGTGAGGGTTTATTGTTATACAAGTAATAAAAATGAAAATATTTGAGTCTATTAATGGAAGAATGTAGTCAGTGGGATGCTTTGCCATAGGAACCACAGATGAGCCATGCTGGAGCATCCATGAAATAGGATTTATTGTAAAAAACAACAAAATTAATTCTTCAGAGGGCCACTAGTCCCAAATTGTGAGAAAGAAAGGTACCCTACAGGCAGTCTGCTTTATGAGGCTCCATGAGACCTATTGCAATAGAATCAGGATTAGGATCACTCTTGAGAATTTCTGATATTCTTTGAAACTCCTGCAGCCACTCCCTGTTTTCACTAGATGAACTGGACTGTATTTCAGGTAAACCCATTCTTTTGTTCTCAGTCTAAGACACCTGTAAGACTGTTTCTGCAACCCTTTGCCCAAAATACATGCAAAGCAAAAATCAAATAAAAGATTAGATTGATGGCTCAGGAATAACGAGGCTGAGATTTATTAAATAACCCAGTTAAGCTCTATTTCAGAAGCACCTAACAGCGCTTTTCCAGGGGGATCAGTGGCCCCAGGGAACACTACAATCTGTGTTAGCTGCAAAGTGAAATTGTACATTAGTTCACAATTGTAGT